CTCCACTTAGCTAGCACTTCCGAAATGGCAAAATTTTAGAAATGGAGAACAGACACAGGATTGTCAGTGGGCTAAAGAGGGTGTAGGAAAGGGAGAGAAATGGCATGGCTATAAAGAGCAAGAGGAGGAACCCTCCTGGTAATGGAATCTTTGCCTTAACAAGGTCATTTTCAACAACTTGACTGTGTACCATTCTGTAGTTTCACAAAGCATTAACACTGGAGGAAACTGGGTACAGGAGTACAGGATCTCTGTATGATTCCTTTTCTTTTCTTTCCTCCCTTCTTTGCCTCCTCCTCTCCCTCTCTTCCCCCCGCCCCCAACCCTTCTTGGCAGGGTCTTGCTACAGGTTAGCCTCAAATCTGTGACAGCATTATTCTCCTTGCCTTAGCCTCTAGAGTGCTAGAATTCTAGGTACCACCACTCCTGGGTCTGTCTGTGTGATTTCTTGTAAATACATGTGAATTTAAATATTTAGTTATCTCTAAATAGAAGTTAAATTTTAAAAGCTCAGTTACCTGGGCATGGTGGCACACACTTATAATCCAGCAATTAGAAGGATCAGGAGTTCAAGGCCAGCTTTGGCTAATAGAAAGTTTCAAGGTAGCCAGAGCTACATGAGACCTCATCTCACTCCCTGCCCCATCCCAAATTAATCACACTGAACCTATTTCAAATATACTTTGTTATCTGAAATAATTATTCCTTACAAAAGTCTTCTCTTTGCTATGATTTTGTTAGCACTCCAGGGTTAGAGGCTTGAGAGTTAAGACTAAGTGTTGTAAACATTTGTATTCAGTACTTTGGGCCAAAATATCTGTACAAACAAACTTGCCTGCAATAATCTCATCAGGGAAATATATTAGCTCACAAAATAATTAACTGTTTAGCTAGCACTGAAATGTTCTTGGTATTATTGCACATTAATTGAGGTTTCTTGGTTTCTGTTTTGCTGTTATGCAAGTCCTTCAATTTATTTCTTTCCCTCCAAAGAGCTATGAGAAATTTCCTTTTTCAGTTAAAAAAAAATTCACCCATGTAACACAAGTACATTTTCACTAATGTTTAAACAAGAAGGCAAAGTTCCCTCACTTCCCACCAGTCTTCTTCCCAGAAATACTCATCCCTGTCAATTTATTTCCTTCCAGATTATTTTTTGTGTATTTCTTGACATATGTACAGTTCTGTGTATCTGATGTTTTAAAAACACGATAGGACCATGCTGTTTATATCATTCTTCAGATTCCTTTGCTCCCTTTGAAATGTCTTAGAAATTCACGTCTGTATGTTTAGATGTAATTTAACTTATTCGTTTCAACAGCCTCAGAGTAGTCTGCAGAATTTTATCCTAACCCTAACCTTATTTGTCTGTTGACACAGGACAGCTTGAATTTTTGCTACTGCAAGCATTGCAGTCTTCAGTGACAATCCTTTCACAAGTTTCTTTGAGTGAAATGAGGTGATTTCTCTCTGACAGAAGTATAACTGGGGCTCTGCTGACTGGCTGAACCAACACTTGTTCCCTCCTCTTTCTAGTCTCTGGAAATGGTGGAGATGCTGCAAATTGACTTTCCTTGCCTTTTCTGGCAGTTAAGGGAGGTCATATGACTGAGTTCTGGCCAATTAAATAAGAACAAAAGTTCACTTGGCAGTCCCTAGGAATGTTTAGCTTTCCAGGTAAAAGGAACAAATATGATTGGTACTGTCTGGCTTTCCTGTCTTGAAGGTAGTTATGGTGTTTCAAGGGGTTGCAGCCATAATGCAATGTGAGGGAAAGCCAAAAGAATCACTGTGATGTTGACTTTGACATCACTGGGTTGCTCAACCAAAGCCACAGCAGCCTACCTCCGGGCTGTTAGTAGAGAGGAATGAATTCCTATTGGTTTAAGCCACAGGAAGTCTGGTTTTCAGTTACTTGCAGCCAAATGCATTCCTCAACTTTCAGTACTAAATTATTCTTCAAACACTCTGTACTCATTTTATTTTCTTACAAGTCTACTGAGAGTACCCATTTCCCAAATGGCTGTCAGCTTTGAACACTGGCAGTCTTTTAAATGTTTAACCAAACTGATGTGGGCATGTCATACACGTTCATACAGCCACTGACCATCCAGTCTCCCTCCTCATGGCTTTCCTGTTCCTATCTCTTGTCTACTTTTCTTGTGTGTTTTATGATTTCCATTTACCAATCACTGCAGAGAATTTCCAGATAGCAAAGTAGGCTGAGTTAAATTGATGGGGGAAATTCATCCCTGTATCTTTATACTATCAACCAAATTACAAACAGAGCTACAACAAATGAGCCCTACATGCCAAGCCAGGCTGACAGTGACAGTCATTTCTGAGTGGTGCACTACATGGCACTGTGCCAAGAATTATCGTGTGTAATTCAACTCCCACGAAACACCATAGCCAGTACATCAGATTTCTTTGTAAACTGTAGCTACACTGAAAGAAAGGTTTATGGAATAGTGGCACACTGGTGCACAGGGCAGACTCCTCCACACACACCCTCTTTCATCCCTCACATCAAACCCAGGAGCAGTCACTTTTATTCCTGTTTTACAGAATAATGAAAGCAAACATTTAAAACCAACAATCTCTTTCTTACCACAAAAACTTTCAAACATTGCAGGCGCAATATTTAATAGCAAAACAATTGTTTGTCTTAACTTAAATGATGCAGAATACATTATGCCTATCTGAACTTATTGACATACTTAAGCTGGAAACATTGCTGAACCTGTCTGGTGGTTTATTATTCTGAAGCTCTTTTAAAATTTGATTCTCAGGGGACATGAAGGTGAAAAGAACATGTGTTGGGGGAGATTTGGGGGAAGGAGAAGAGAGGGAGTTGGGTAGATATAATCAAGATACACTGCATCTATGTGTGACTGTCAAAGAATAAATAAAACTATTTTTAAACCAAACAAAACATTGATTCTCAAGTATATTGCTATAGTATATGTTACAGATGACCAAAATTATATTGACTTTTCAAAGTGAAAAGCTCAATTGAGTAGGATTTTAATGCTTCACCAAGAAGTATCAAGTAGCCAGCAACCCCACTCCAGGACAGCAGGTAAGGAACTCCCCTAATCAGTTAACAGTCAATCTGACACTGGAAAACAAACAAAACAGGCTGGTAAAGATATTAAAAGACTGTTGTGGAAAGCGCAGATGCAAACAAGCTGAATAGGACAAGCACCTTCAGTGTGTGTACATAGTTTGGATTTGGGGAACATTGACTCTGCTTCAGAAATCTGAGTTTGGAAAAGACTCATGTGGACTCAGCAGGAGTGCCCAGGCACTGACAAATGTGTCCTTACTTTGCACCACACCTCTCTCAACAAGAGCTGAGGAGTCTCTCTGGCCAAGCATCTCATCAAGCAGTTAGTCCACAGTGGCTGAGGAGCATAGGCTTAGCAAGCTCCTTCTCCCTCAGGGGACATACCCAGCCAGAGACCCAAGAACCCAAGCCCCTATGGTGGGAAGGTTAGACCACGGGGAGATGGAAGATGCTGCCCACTTGGGTCCCAGGGAGACATGGGAGTCACCTGGAATAAATACTCTTGCAGATTTTTTAAAAAGCTCATTTAAAGGGCATAAGAAAGCGCTGGGGAGAGTTTGAATTTTTTATTTGACATAAAAGAAAACTAGTCTGTAGACACGAACAATGTTTACAGTCTACAGAAGGAAATGGGTTCCTGTGGGGACCTCTGAGGAGTCTTTCCATTTGCCTGGTGGGCTTGCCCTAGGAAGAAGTGGTAGAGTGTTCCTCCAATCCCTGCTTCCTAGTAGGGCTGCACTCCTGGCTCAATGCACTGGCACACAGGGGTGGAGGCATGTGGAAAGAAATCTCTTTTCCAATGTCTGCTGTCAGGCCTGGAGAGGGCAAACGGGTCCCTGAGGGGTCCAGGTGTTTGGACTACATATAGCAGGAAGAGTCAGGCAAGCTTTAGTCACCAGAACAAACCAGGGCACAAAGGTTGGCTTTTTAAAAACAGTCTATCCAACCCTCAGGACACTACAGGAGCAGCAGCAAGTTCAGCACCTGAGAGGAGATATCAACTCTGAGGAGCAACACACAAAGAAAAAGAGCAAAAATGGAACAGAGTGGACCTGGGCCAAAATGAGCCCCAAATAAACCAGGTGTTGGTTGAGTAACCTTGACTAGCTGCAGTCCTGGCACCTAAGGGCTTCCCAAGTGCGGGTTAGAGCTGGGCCCTCAAAGCAGCCTGAGAGGGTTGAGCCTTGGAGGTTCTAACAGGCCGGTGGCTTTGAGACAAGAGCTAAAAAGGAAGTGCGTGCGTGTGTGTGTGTGTGGGGGGGGTTCAGCTCCTCTTCACACCACACTCTTCCACTTGCACAACCAACTGACACATGGCCACAATGGTGCACAAGCAGGCATAAGCCTGTGTGCACATTCATCTATACACACAGGTTCTTGGTTAGGGAGGCCCATGCACAGTCTCACACATACACCCACTCAGTACATCCAATCTGCCACTTGGGTAGTGTAGGCACCCAATCACACACACCCACACACACACACACACACACACACACACACACACACACACACCAGTACCTTTCAGTCTGATACACACAGACCTCCACATAAGTACACAAACTCACAGCCTGTCACAAGCACACACACCCTCACAATCCCACTGCTGGCCTGCGCGCACACGTAGGTGCACACACAACCTGTCATTCGGCTCTGCACCCTCAACTAGGGCTCTGTGAGGTGCCCACATGAAACCTGCCAGGGGCACACACCGGATCCCAACTTCGCCGTCGCGCATGCACACTCACTGGAGCTCAGCCCACACACGCACCCTCGCAGCCTCTCTCTGCTCCCGGCGCACCCCACACCCACGCACCCTCCGGGGCCGGGCGCACCCCTCCCCCAGGCCCGTGCGGGCACACGCTGCGAACTCCATCCGCGCGGGGTGCACACACACACCCCCGTCGCAGCCGCCCGCGCCCCTTCTCACCTTTCTCGCCAGCGCCGGGCGATCGACCCTCGTCCTCCTTGGGGTTGGTCACCTGGGTGATGATGGCCGGGCCGTCCATGGGTGCGCGGCACGCAGGCCGCCCGCAGGCCAGGCCCGGGGCAAGCCAGGCGCGCGGGGGCGCGGTGCGGGGGGCGCGCG